AAAACCTTTAAATAAAAACTGACTAACTTAACTAAGTGACTGACTAACTAACTAGCTAAACTATCTAATCTACTAATTAACTAACTAACCAAAAGTCTAAGTCTAAAGAGGATAATTCCTGGGACAATGTACACAATTGAGTTCGTAACAGGTGTAAATGTTCTTATGTTATAGCTCATACCATGGTGAAAAATCTCGACGAGAAAGGAAATGTTGTGAATCAAGTAGACTACCTATGCAAATGGCAGGGCTTACCATATGGCGAGAGCACATGGGAAGACGGAGGACTAATTTCCAGATTTCATCAACAGAAGGTTGATGCTTATCTCAACCGACAGCGATCCGAAAAAATCCCCATTAAGAGTGCAAAAGTGCATCGTCAGAGACCAAAGTTTGTTCCTATAAAAAGACAGCCATCCTTCCTTGGAAATGATGAACTTATGCTAAGAGATTATCAACTTGATGGGTTAAATTGGCTTGTTAATTCTTGGTGCAAAGGTCACTCGGTGATTTTGGCAGATGAAATGGGTCTTGGTAAAACAATTCAAGTTATTTCCTTTCTATCATATTTGTATAATGCTCAATCCCTTTATGGACCTTTCTTGTTGGTTGTGCCGTTGTCGACAATGGCTGCTTGGCAGAGGGAATTTGGCTTATGGGCTGCAGAAATGAATGTGGTGGTTTATTTAGGAGATGTAACAAGTAGAAATAAGGTAAGCTAGTTTGCTAAATTAACAGCAGCATTTTGTAAAATTAAAAAAAAAAACTGAAAGAAGAAGTTCTTAATCTCAGAATTAATTTGTTCGTTCATGTGTCTGTCTGTCTGTCTGTCTGTCCACCTATCTGTCTGTCTGTCTGTCCACTCTGTCCGCTCACTTGCTCGCTCTGGATCATGAGGTACATTAAGACTGCAACTCTCACTCTCCAACCAGCCCTGTCTTGTGCCACGCCCTGCTGGCCCACCCCTCCTAACCGCACTTCCTTCCCCGTTTGTAAAGTCTGAGTTTATTTCTCTTCTGTCATGCAATTGTACAGAATTTATTCTTCAGTAAAGTGCTAAGTATGTGTTACCTTGATGAGAACGACTGAGAAAACATACTGCCAATGCCGCATATTTTTGGGGAGATGTTTCCATCCTAGACTGTGCCAGAAGTGTAGGATGGTTATATATTTTTTTAATTACTGCAAAACTTATATCAAGTTGTTCTTTAGAGGCATGGAAAGGCAAGATATTGTCATCTTTACCAGTGTCCAATGTTTCCAAAGTCCAGAAACATTTTCAGTACATATTACCCTTTTTTGATCAACTAAAAATGTAATTTTCAGCATGTTTTTTTTATTATTTTGTTAAGTTTGATCATTATTTGATGGCATTCAGTTGATTTCAATGCAATTTTGCTCTTTCAGATCCGTGAATATGAATGGTACCGTGCTAACAGCAAGTCAATAAAATTCAATGCTCTTTTGACAACTTATGAAATCTTATTAAAAGACAAGGTATGAGTGAAGACTTACAGTGTAGCACAAGTTGATCATTACTACTTCCCTTACATGATTTAGGAATAATTTTGTGTTGATCTTTAAGAAAATAGCTCAAAGAAAATAATTTATTGACAGAACTAGGACATGCTGTTGACGTGATAATAGCGTGAGGAAAGGGAATTTACACTTTGATGATCAAAGCAAACAAGACTTTGTTTTTCTTTTTTTCTTTGCAGTGATTTCTAAAAGAAATAGAAAACATGTTCTATGTGTTTCTTTCAAGTTATACAAACACTCGTGACAGTTTAGGAAAACTCAAAAAACATTGAAACACTCACTTAATTAACACTTCTTTCCTCTTGAATTTCAAAAGCAAACCTTAGGAACTGTTAATTGGTGTTGTCTTGTTGTGGATGAAGCTCACAGACTGAAGAATGACGATTCCCTGTTGTACAAAGCTCTCATGGAATTCAATACCAATCACAGAGTGCTAATAACTGGCACTCCACTGCAGAACTCTCTTAAAGAACTCTGGGCATTACTACAGTTCATCATGCCCAACAGGTGAGCTGTGAAATCCAAGGGGAAAATAAAGCTTTTTGCTGTAATTTATTTAGAAATATTTCATGTATTTAAGGGTATTTTAAAAGCTGTTTGTTTATTTAGAAATTGGTAGAAATTAGCTTCAATGTGTTGGACATTGAGGAAGAACTAAGAATTCAGAGCAATGCAACTTTGGAACAAGCTGTCAGACAACATTAAGTGCTAGTGTATATTTGCAGTACGTTTTTTTTGTTAGTTAATTTTCAATTGCAACAGTTACTATAGTTGAATCTTGATTTTTCGAACCTCAGAGGAACCAAAAGTTGGTTTGAAAAATAGGGAAATTGGGGGAGAATGACAGTGTTCAACTGACGGGAGGGAAGCAACTTTTGATTTGAGTTATTGGGAGTTTTGAAAAGTTTAGGGTTTGAGAAATCAGAATTCCACTGTGTTGTTAAGTTTACCCAAATGTCTTTTTTTGACTATAGGTACTCAGTACATGTATTTTCTTTTCAGTGCAACTATAGTTATAAAATATAAGACTTTAAGGTAAAAAGCTGTTAAAATTAGGAGTCTAAACGTTTGCGATCTGTTTGATCATCATCAGAGATCATCTGATTGATCACGTAATGATCAATCAGATGATCTCTGATGATGATCAAACAGATTGCAAACGTTTAGACTCTTAATATTAACAGCTTTTTACCTCAACGTTTTATATTTTACTTTTATCAGCAAAATGTATATATATAACTGTAGTTATGTTCCATTTCTTTTTTTAAGGTGTGTAGATTTTTTCTTATTATTTTTTATTTTCAATTCTCAAAGTTAATTATTTCTTTCCAATAAGTTATCTTTTTTCTTTATAATATGCTCGTAATAATGTTGTCTTTGAGGATAAGTTATATTTGTTAGACCAGGGCTGGGATCTAGTTGAAAATGTAAAAGTTGGCCAGGTTTGTCATCACTTGTTGTCATGTAGGTTTTATTCCTGGGATGAGTTTGAGAGGATGCATGCCACTCAAGAGGAAAAAGATAAAGGATTTTCAACTCTTCATAAAGAGCTGGAACCTTTCCTTTTAAGAAGAGTCAAGAAAGATGTGGAGAAGTCCTTGCCAGCCAAGGTACAGATTGCAGTCTTTCATAAGATTATTCTCAGTTGAACTATACTTACAGTGTATAGATCGGTCTGTTTATATGCATGCACTGTACATCATTTGTTAGTGGAGGTGTGGCGACCTCATGGTTAGTTAACCTTGCTGACATTGTTATCAGGAAAGTAGAAAAGGCAAGGTGGCAATTGGTCTACTTTACTCTCCTTCTTCAGCTTCATCTTTTTGTCACTGCCATCGAAGTAATTATGATATAATTATGAACGACAAAGGTATAATCTGTATAATTAATAGAACAAAATGCTGTTTATACTAGCCACAAAACATCATTAATTGCACCCTTGGGAAATGTCAAAAGTGCATAACTCACTAGTTAATCAGAGAAACAGAACCTTTCAAGAACATTCATGTTTACTCAGAATACTTCCCTGTAGAAAAGCACTGAGTCCTGTTTAATTTTAAGTGGTTGAATTATCAATATCGAGTTTGTGAATGTTTTTTTTTTTATTACACACATAGGTGGAACAGATTTTGAGAGTGGAAATGTCATCAATTCAGAAACAGTATTATAGGTAAGTTATCTGTGATGTAGCTATTTTGTGAGGGATAAACACCAGAGGGGGGGGATACTCCTTAAAGTTTGGTGGGGGTGTGTGGCCCAGACCTTGAAAGTTGTACCCTATTTCAAGCCAAAATGTGTGATTTTCCAAGCCACTCTGCCCCCCACCCCCTCTAAAAAAATATCCAATTTCAGACCTCCAGAATTAGTACACGGCTCTAATTTTATATACGACCTCAGCTAACCAGAAATGGCTTCCATTTGCATAAACATTCAAGAAGGGCACAGCTACAAATGAGCCAATGTTGATGCTACAGAAAAAAAGTTCCTCGTAAACAAAATACCCAATGCCAAGTCAGAGTGAATAACATACCCTATTTCAGACCAAAACTGCACAAAAACCAATTACCCTTNCCCCTCTAAAAAATATATCAATATCCAATTTCAGACCTCTAGAATTAGTACACGGTTCTAGTTTTTTATATGACCACAGCTAACCAGAAATGGCTTCCATTTGCGTAAACATTTGAGAAGGGCACAGCTACAAATGTGCCAATGTTGATGCAGCAGAAAAAAGTTCCTTGTAAACAAAATACCCAATGCCAAGCCAGAGTGAAAAACACCCTATTTCAGACCAAAACTGCTCAAAATCCAATTACCCTTTGGGGTCGCACATACCTTGATATAGCCTATGTAACGGAGTAAACCTCAAATCCCAGGATAAACATCTCTCTGAGAAACTGATGTTTACTACTAATGTATCAGCCCGGAAGGGAAGCTCAGTAGACCCCACATGCAATGCAGACGACCTTTTTGCAGTGTCTATTAATGGTAAAGTCATCACTGACACAGAGCTTGCTATACTGTAAGTAGTCCTCTAGCTAAGATCAAATCAGAATATTTGGAGAAGCAGATAGAAAAATTCTCATAGCAAAGTAGTAGCCAACAAGAAAAAAAAAATTCTATCCACGGGCTAAAAGACTCCATTCGCTCCACTCCCCAAGTCTTTAAATTGTAAAGTGGATTTACGTTCTGTTTCCTTTCTTTTAGGTGGATCCTCACAAAAAACTTTGCAGCTTTAAACAAAGGTTTAAAAGGAAATGCAAACAGCTTTTTAAACATTGTGATGGAGCTGAAGAAATGTTGTAATCATGCTCAGCTGATCAGGCCTGATAATTATCAAACAACCACCGACCCTTTGCAGGTACTGTGTATTATTTAATAGTTTGTCTTTCAAATCCAATTCCAGAAAAAATGTTCTGTAGTGTATAAGCTATTATGCCCTAACATGTACTTGTCATTAAGTCCCTTTCTTTCCTTACCTGTATAGTTGGTCTTTTAAACTGTTTGACTCAGGAGGTAGCTAGGGGGGGGGGGGGGCTGGGGTGTCCATGATGCCCCCTTTTGTAAGTCTTTTTTAAGCAAACAACCTATAACAGTTGGCAAAAATGACATGGCAATCTGGTGAGTACCCTCACTTTGACACAGTGTGATGCCCCCCCTTTGAAAAATCCTGGCTACACCTCTGTGACTTCTGATGTGATTCCATGCAGACACATTGTGAAACTTTACATTATGAAACATTTTTGCCTCCCAACCCCAGTATTAAAATCACACACTGTGTTTTACACTTACTCTGACCTGTGAATATGCATACAGGTTGATTAATACTTTTGAAATTAATAGTTTCCTATTATGTTTCAACTGGTTAATGTTGTGTTTTATTAGAACCTTATCAGAGGTAGTGGCAAGCTATTTTTGCTTGACAAGCTGCTGTGCAGGTTGAAGGAGACAGGCCACAGGGTCCTTATCTTCTCGCAGATGGTGCGTATGCTGGACATCTTAGCGGAGTATCTTCAACAACGCCGTTTCCTCTTTCAGGTAAATTCCTGCACAGGGCTTCCTTTGATTGGGATTCAACTGGTATAGGTAAATTACAATTGGTGGTAATCAAATTTGGCAGCCAAAATTAAAGCCAGAAGAAAAAACAAGAAGGGGTGGGAAACATATGTCAAACCTTAGCAAAATAATTACCTATCATTTTGTATTTCCTTGTTAATCTATCAATGAGCACAGAAAAGGTTCAAGATTATGATTGAAATCTCAAGTAAGGAACACATCGTGTTGCTAAATGTAACTATGCATTCAGTAGTTTCTATTAAGTCAAGGAGACTTTAATCTGAATGTTGCTTTTGTCATAGAATTTATTTCAAGTGAGCTGTTAACATCCTGAAATTTTTAAGTTGTTGTTCTTACCTTGTTGTTATTTTAGAGACTGGATGGCTCCATAAGAGGAGACTTGAGAAAGCAGGCTTTAGACCACTTTAATGCTGAAGGGTCCGAGGTACATTATAAATCAATAAAATATAACTTGTCTAGACTTCTCACTATCAAGCATGTACAGAAGATTGTTGCTAGAAGCCTTCAATTTTACGGGTGTATGCACAGTCTGTGCAATACCAATTTCTTGAACACTCAATTTTGTAACCTCCCAATAACTTGAACCAAAGGATGTTTGCTTATAATTTCCCCCCTGATTTCTCCAGCTAGTGGATTTTTCAGGCCAATTTTCATTTCCCTTGGAGGTTCAAAAAATCAGCATTCCACTCTATTGTATATAGTTAAATGAAATTTAGCATAGTTAGCGACTAGGAGCTAGTCTGGTCAGTAACGTTTTTGTTGGCAGTTGTTAGTTTCTTGGCTGTCTGTTAGCGTTTGTTTAGGGTTTGGTGCGTTCTGTAGCGTTTGATATAGTTCTCTGAAATTTTACATAGTTTATGACCAGGAGCTAGTCTGGTCAGTAGCGTTTTTTGTAGGCGTCTGTTAGTGTCTTGGCCATCTGTTAGCGTTTGTTAAACGTTTGGTGCATTCTGCAGCGTTAACAGCAGTCATGTGGTCATGGGAGCCCTGGGGCTGACATTGTCTAGTGGTATTCTTGGTTAGTACGTGTGTTGTCGTCCCATGTGCTTGCAGTGTGTTTGTTGCTCTGCGAGCATGGCGTTGTGGGTTGAATTATAGTAGTTTAGCGGTTCTTGGTGTTCCCTCCCTATCCCCCCCCCTCTTTTCAGCAGATTTTTTTTCTTTCCACTGAGCCATCTGGCTTGAGTGTGATGGGTGCCTGTAGGGGGCTTGGCATGGGGGGCTCGTGGCTTGGTTGCGGGTTGGGCAGGCCAGTCGGGTGTTCTAGCGCCTTGGGGATGTGACTGCAGTTGCAGCCCCCAGGCTTCGTAGGCACCTTCCCTCCACTAGTGACTTGGGCGTTAACAATCATATGTCAAGTGTCTTTTGAAATAGTTGCTACAAGTTGTAAACTTGCAATTTACAGTGATAGCTGACTCAGCTGCACCTTGTTGAACTAAATAACTTAGGCTTAACCTTACCGTTCAGTGTAATATTATGATTAAAGAGGACTAATTGCATATGTGAGATTTGCAGTAGAAATCATAGTTTCTTGGAAAATCATTGAACAGAATCAAGAACAAGTTGTATGGCATACAAAGTACAATGAATCACATAGGGAACTTCAATCTTTTACTGTTGAACTGACAGTTGGTTTTGTAATTTCCTTGAAGGATTTCTGTTTCCTGTTGTCCACTCGTGCTGGGGGCCTGGGTATTAACCTGGCCACAGCTGACACTGTCATCATTTTTGACTCAGACTGGAACCCCCAGAATGACTTGCAAGCACAGGCTCGTGCACACAGAATAGGACAGAGAAATCAGGTCAGTAACTGGTTGGTAGTCATGAAATTCAATGCCTGCGTAAAATATTGAACATTGCGGGGCTAGAGTAAGAAATTAGGATTGGTGAATGGTAAATAAAATTTATATTTGAGACTTTGTGAGAAGGTGAGACAAGTGTTTTTTAATTTGTTGCGAGACTGAGACATTTTGACTTTTAAAATTGCAAGACTGAAACCTCAAANAGTGACACAAGGTTTATTTTTATCCATGGGATTGTTTGAATACTGGTTTAACAGTTTCACAAGATGGCACATTTCAACTGGAAATAATTGCTTGGACATACAAGTTTGTTTTTCTCTGAGACTTTTCTTGGAGAAGTTCTCGATCCAATGACCTCTAATATTGTAATTCTATAAGTTTCAGGAATTTGTTTTATTTGTACAACAATATTCTGATGTCCCTTGTTCATACCTTTTATTACTCATGGCTCGAGTTAACAACAATGATGTTTGATACACCGGCTTGTTTCATTGTAAATGGAACTCAAATCAACTGAAGAATAGAAGGTTGTATTGGAAGTGCTTAAAATGCTGAATAGAAAGAGACATTTTACAAGCCACCAGAGAAACATGTAAAAGCAAGAATATTCTTGTTTGCGCTAAGCAGTTATTGTACGTTCACTTGGAACAAACTTTTAGCCAGGATTTGAAAAGTGGGTGTCCAAAATATACTAAGATGTTTCTCCAAGAACAATTAGCCTAGACACCCATCTGGCCGAGCGTACCTCAAAATTTGACACAGAGATGAAAGATAGCATACAAAGTCTTAGAATTACATTCACTGGTAATTGCCCTAACTCTTCTAGCAATTCTTCTCTACTCTGTTAGAAGGTAGAGGGAAGAAGCATCTTGGTGAAATCCAAACCCCTGTTTGTATTCTGCATTTTATGCACTTCCAATGCAATGCTTATGCCTTACCCTTGTTTCACTGTTTTCCTTAAGTTTAAGTGTTACATAAGTGTTTTTATGACTTTGATTAATTTAATTAGTAAAAATATTTTTCTCTTTAAAGGAGTACACCATTTAATAAAGAGGAGCTTGCAGCTATCTTGAAATTTGGAGCAGAAGAACTCTTTAAGGAAGGAGATGGAGAGGATACTCAACTTCAGGTCTGCATCATTCTGTCACTAATATGTCAATCTCCAGCGGTGATAAAATCCTATATGCTCTATTTAAAACAAATGCCACCACCTCAGAAAAACAGACAAACAAGCGTGTTTAGATGGATAGGGACCCTCCTTTAAAAGGGGCAACACTGTCTGGGATTCCTTTTTCTCTGTACTTAAGTCTGCATATGAGTCAAGTGGCCCATCAGGCCAGAGCTTATCCTGGTTTCTGTAGCATGAAGCGACAAGGAGTATTTCTACTCCCCCCTGGATATGATGCTCGTCCATTGCAGGGTTACCCTTCCCCCCTAGCATAAAGGTTGCCGGTTCCCATTTATACACCTGGGTGGTGAGAGGCACTGTAAGGGTGAAGTGTCTTGCCCAAGAACATAACACAATGTCTCTCGCAAGGACTCAAACTTGGACCTCTTGATCTGGAGACGAGCGCACTAACCACAAGGCCACCGTGCCTGGATAGGGACCCTGCTAATGGGGTAACAGTGCTTGGAAATCTTTTTTCTTTACACTAAGGTAAAGAATAATTCAACATGTGATGCTGAGGTAACTGCTGTAACCTATTTCATAAATGAAATTGGCCCTTTAGTAGAGTTAGGGTTGTTCCATACAGCGTTTGGGTTCCTATGCATATGTTTTGCGTAATTTTGGGAGTGTGTCATTGGTGATAGCAGTACTGTAAGTAAATTAAGGACTGAGCATTATTAAGCAACAGTGTGCTTCTTGTAGGAAATGGATATTGACGACATCCTCAGAGGAGCGGAAACCAGGGATTCAGATGACCACCCACACACTATAGGGGAAGAGCTACTGTCACAGTTCAAGGTATGTATGTGATTATACACTGTTGAACATGGACAACGGTCATTGAGGGGCAGAACAGCCCTTACAGTGTATTTCAACCCCAAAGAGTTGCTTGCATATTGTATTGTATGGATCAGTGCATGGTAAAGACATACTGTCCTTAAAACACCTTTTTGATTTCTTCAGTTTTTAACATTATCACTTTGGCTTGAGTTCAAGGGATAAAAGGGGTACATTTAGAAGAATCACACACAAAACCCGTCGGGTTTTTATAGGCTTTCATCACAGTTGCCAAGTTGCTTCACAACAGCAATTACCACTTACACTCATCAGCATCCGTTGATCTTGGCAGATCATGGATCTACGCTCTGGAGACTGTTATTCAGCTTGCACAGGAGCATCACTTACTATGGCTCTACAGGCCGATACTTACAATGATTCCATTATTTGATCAATTATAATAATTATACCTTTATAAAAATTATTATACAACTATAAATAATTAGCGTAATTATTATAATTTTCATAATATATTATTTGTTAGGTTGCTAGTATTGCCATGGATGCTGATGAAGATGAGGTTGCTGTTGTGAATCAAGAGAGCAAAACAACAGATGAAGGCAAAAGCTGGGCAGACATAATTCCTGAAACTGAGAGAAAAAAGCTGGAGGAGGAGGAAGAGCAGAAAAAACAGCTTGAGATGTATTTGCCACCACGAAACCGAAAAACTGTCAAAAAGGTATCATGGTATTTTGAGTTATGTTGGCCATGTGCAAAATTACCTTTAAACTGAAAGAAACCTGAAAATAATAGTTAAAAAAGATAGAAAAACACCAAAGAAATAGTAATAAATCATAAATGAACGAGGATGGTTTAGGATGGAGAAGATTAACACAGATTACAAACGACAAACTTGAAAAATTTAGGCTAAACTTTTCAAGATGCGCAAACTGTGAGTAGCTTTTGGATTATTATATTAAAACATAATACTTTTGTTTAGAATCAGTCTGTAACATGATAAACTTTTTTTTCCCAACAGATGAATTACGGCAAACCCAATCACAGTGACAGTGAACATGAGGAGAACTACAGGAAGAAAACAAGTCGAAAGAAAAAATCTGAATCGGAGAGTGACGACGATTCTGGCGGGGAAGGCAAAGAAACAAAGAGAAAGCGAGGAAGGCCTCGGACCATAAAGAGGGAAGATGTTGAAGGCTTCAATGACGCTGAAATAAGAAGGTTGGAGCAGCATTTCCACAGTCACTAGTTCAAAGTGTAAAGTATGATACAAAGAAATTTCAATTATTCAGTTTCAACCAGTGTACTCACAATGTTCCATGTGGTAATTAATCTTTAGGTTTGTGAAAAGTTACAAGAAGTTTGGTAGACCAAGAACAAGGTAATGACGTGTTTCAAGTATTTATTTTAGTTTGCTCTTGAGAAAAGGTTTGTTCAAGCAATGACTTGTACTTTGGTAAGACCTAATGAGTGTAATAGAAAAAAAAAAGAAAAAATGAAACTGAAATGAAGTGTCAAATTTATTTAGCACCTGTAAATGTGCTAACTGGGGACCGTAAAGCGTACCGTAAAGGTATAATAGCGAATTAATTTTACCCCAGTTAGGTAAAAAAATCCCGCGATATCAGGTCTGCAACTTGATATCACAGGAAATCAAGTCAGCAGACGATTCCTCTCATTGGCTTATTGTGAGTATTGTCACATTAAGGACGTTAAATATGTAAATTTATCCTAGACTTGACGCAATCGCCGCTGATGCTGAGCTGGAGGACAGACCCCAAGAAGATCTGAGCAGACTGGCAGATATTCTGCACAATGGCTGTGTGAGAGCGGTGGCTGAATATGAAGAAAAGCTCAAAGAAGATCCCAACTTTGATGGTAAGCTGTATACTGTGTTTCCTCGTCTAACCACTCAGGGTGATTTCATGTGAAATCTTAAGCCCCGGCCAAACGATCGCAACATTTGAACGCAACATATCGCAGCATTGTTGGGCGTAACATGTTGCGCGCGTTTGGCCACCCTGTTGCGACGTATTGCGACATGTTGGGTGTTGTTGGCCAAATGCGCGCAACATGTTGCATAGACACATGTTGCAAAAACAAATGGGTCAAACCGGTGGAAACCAAATTATCACTTTATTGACAAATGACGTGCAACAGCGGTCAACATTTCGCGGGTAACAGTGAACTGTTTCCCGTTCGCAATGTTGCCCGCTCATGGCATTTGGCGGGAAACAGTTTCATTGTTAGATGTCATGTGACCATGAACTAGCCAATAAATGGGCGCGCTGTAGCGGGAAAAACGCCAGTTATTTAACAAATTGACGTCAGTTTTTTTATACGTCTGTCTTCCTATTGATGATAAATTGCATCATAACATTGTCAAAGTGGCTGTGGAACCACGAGCCGCAGTTCCTGCTCAAAAGCAGTCGTCCATATAGTACAGCAGTGTCTTTTTATCCAACTTCTTACATTCCTTTTAGTTCTTTTTTAAAAGAAGAGGTAGCTTTTTATTTCCAATGCCATATATTTATGTTTAGGTGCATTTCGACAGCAACTAAATTCTAACATTTCTAAATGCGCAGCATGGTCAATTTCAATCATTGCTTAGAAATGTACGCACATGTTTTTGTCACCACTCGATTTTCCCAGAGAATTATTGAGCTACTGCGTTCACTAGTTTGACAAGCCTTGATGTTATCGCGACAGGATCCTGGTTGGTAGGGGCGAGATGCTAAGTTCTATTTCATATGCGAACTTGAAAGTTCTTCAGCAAATTGTTTTGCTAAATTAAATGTAAATTCTTCAAATGCGAGTTGGCTGAGAAACGTTATATTTAAGTCACTGAACTTTCTTCAGGTAAAAAGCGTGGAGCCACTGTGCGACTCAGCAATGTGACAGTCAATGCGCCATCAGTGTTGAAACATGAAGAAGAACTTGAATCACTGGCTGCCCTCATGCCAGCGGACTATGACGCCAGGAGAAAGTGAGTAATAACTGATACGGCTCATGTTGATTAAATGGAAGGCGGTGTAGAGACGGTATTCCTAGGCACATTACCTTGAAGGAGCTACGCAAGGTTTGCGCATCGTGAGAAGCAAAGCCCAAATTTTTCAAATTTGTTGTTTGTAATCCGTGTTAATCTTCTCTATCCTTAACCATCCTTGTTCCTTTATGGTTTATCATTATCTATTTGGTGTTTTTCTCTCTTGGTGAACTACTATTTGTTTTTCCTTCAGATTCCGTCTGACAGCACCTGCCAAAAGTGTCCACTGGGGGGTCCCGTGGGATGTTCCAGATGATTCAATGTTACTCGTCGGCATATTTGAGTACGGATTAGGAAGCTGGGAGGCAATCAAAGCTGATCAGAGCTTGGAATTGTCATCTAAGGTAAAACAACTGCGGCAGTCATTTAGAGTTTGACATCTGAGGGTGGGGCGTTTATAAACTAGGCGGCATAAAAAAGTTGAAATTTTGGCTTTTAAGTACCCCTCCTTCATATTCTATTTTTGTACAATGGACGCCTCCCTTGTTTTAGTCCATTCTGCAAACTTTGGACAAGGGACCAAGTCACAAGATGAGTTCTACATTGGTTTCACAGCACTCAGTTTTGTATGGATCTTTCCCCTTTTAAAACTAATTTTGATGTTTATCTTTGTTTTTCCTTCAAAGATCCTCCCTCCTGGAACTTTGAAGCCGCAGGACAAACATCTGCAGACAAGAGTGGAATACTTGATCAAAATCCTGAAGCAAGCTGCTATAGAAGACAAGGCAGAACAGCTTAGAAAGGTCAGCAACCTGGTATAACGGAATTTCTGATTGGTCACCGTAGTATGTGACCATTCAAATGAAAGCTATTGCGCAGTACTTTCATGTGGTACTGTTTATTATGCTGTACAAGGTGGTTCTGACGTTTGAGTCTGTGGATCAAATCCTAGTGTGTGGCCATACGACTGAGAGCTATTGAGCAGTTTTTTCATGTGGTACTGTTTATTATGCCGTACAAGGTGGTTCTAACTTTGAAGTCTTTTGATCAAACCGTAGTGTGTGACCATTCAAGTGAAAGCTATTGAGCAGTACTACCACATATGATAGAGAAAATAATTAAATAATTTGAGTGTGTTTTTCTTATTTCTTAGTCATCACAAATGCTCAAGTCAAAAATTCGCCAACTTAAACAGAAAGAAACAAAGAAAGTTAAACAGCATTCAGATGAATCGCTGAATAATAGCGCTGCGCCATCGCCGATGGAGGTGTTGTCCCCCCCTGATGGAGTAGAGAATAAAGAAGATGGAGTCGCTCTTGAGGTGACTCAGGAGGGGCAGCAGGCAACAGAAGGGAAAAAGAAGAGAAAGGTTTCGAAAAAGAAGGAGGATACCAAAGATGAAGGAGAAAAGGTTTGCAATAACGTTCTATTGGTTCAATAGAATTATGTAGTAATTGTAAATATGCGAGTCATAATAATAAAAGTTGTTGTTGTTGTTGTTGTTTAAGCCCTACTGTACGATTCGTATCTGGTAATGGTTTTCCTTTTGTAATCAACGTTTTAGAGTTATCGCTGTCCATTGCATCTGGCATCAAATAGAACTTAGTAAGGTCTACGGGAGATGTTAATAGAAATTCCGCCTTCCAAACTATATAGCACTTGGATTTATTTGCAGATATCCTTAACCCTCAAAAGGATTTTAAAAAACCTGCAAACTTTTGTGGTCATTTCAACACGTTTCCGCTTTCTGTTCTTTCTATTAAAAGTAATGTCAAGAAAACAAGGTGCTGTACTTTATAAAGTTAGTTACGATATTCTAATTTTTCTTCGTTTCAATCTATATATCAATTGGCGAATGTTTCCGTAATCTCCTGTACGGGAAGGTCGTGATCAGCTAGCTGAAGCGCGATGATCTTTCCTGAGAGTCCAATGTATAAGTGCGAAACAACTTGTTCTGAACTAATATTTTTTCTGAAACTTCCCGGAACCTCTCATGTTTACACATGAAATGAATCATGTAAATCTTGTTCTGCACGGGACTTTTCTGATATTAAAATGTTTTTAAAATGCGACGTTTCAGTAAGTTTTACTGCTCTTCTTCAGGCACCGTAGTTCCAGCTCAATATGGCGGACCTTGTAACTTCGCAACATCTTTAGTGTTGTTACTACCAGAGTAAACTATGATAGTCTTAATGTGTTGCAAAGTGGTTTCAAATTGCATGACATGTTTCTGTTCTTCCATTGTAGCCAAAGAGACCCAAGAAAGAGAAGAAGGAAGTTTCCAAAGAGAAGAAACAGGAACCAAAAGAAACCATAGTTCCTGAAGAACCCTCTTCTCCTCAGATTGAAGAAGAGAGTAAAACAGTCAAGGAAGATCCCAAACCCAAGGGGTCTTATGCCTTGGCCGATATGGAGAAGGCAACATTTGATGCGGTATGTGAAATCATGTGTTCCTAGACTACGAGTAGTCCCTCTTTCGCTTAGTCCGTCGTGCGTGGCGCGAAAGAAAAGCTCGAGAGAAAATGGCCGCGCGTATTTCTGGGGGCGCGAAGCGCTACACTATATTTGCGGTCACGATCGACGGAAAGCGAAAAAGGGACTACTCGTAGTCAATTGTGTTCGC